TGGGGGCGAGTGGGTGTGGCACCAAGGCGGCGGCGGTGGGAGGGGGGGCTTCCCTTGAGGGAGGGCTGTTGCCGTCGACCCGCCGCCCGACATCCACTCGGTTGAAAAACGGAAAGAACGGTCCCGCTGGTTCAGACAAAGGTCCGTCTTGTGTGGCGAGCCGTTTCCAACAGGAACTAGGTCGATGCCTCTGGGATGGGGCCAAGTAGGAATAAATGGCACCAAGGCGGCGGCGGTGGGAGGGGGGGCTTCCCTTGAGGGAGGGCTGTTGCCGTCGACCCGCCGCCCGACATCCACTCGGTTGAAAAACGGAAAGAACGGTCCCGCTGGTTCAGACAAAGGTCCGTCTTGTGTGGCGAGCCGTTTCCAACAGGAACTAGGTCGATGCCTCTGGGATGGGGCCAAGTAGGAATAAAGGCAGCAGCCCTCCTTTATTGTGTCCTTCTGTTACCTGATGTCCTGTGGGTTTCAGGTATCTTCAGCTATCATGGCTGGCTGCTGTTAATAAAAGCATATATGGGATTAGAGGTATCATCCTTTTTTGAAACGCCTCCTGTGTTTAACAGGATCCTGTAATTTTAGTCTGCTGCTTAACTGCATAAGTGATTGCTTGGTAGGTTGGAAGAAGTGCGCTCTGGTTTGTGAAAAGCTTGACCTAGAGTGTTGTCTATTATCTGTCAGAGAATGCTCTTGTTTTTCCTGCAGTTTACAGTGTGGCTGTCTTCCTAGACTTTTTAGAGCAAATAATATTATTCCTCACAAGCTTCCAGATTCTTGGTCAGTTTGCCTGTTCTGCACATCTGATGGCTATCATATTCAATCCATTTTATTGTTAGTATGTTACAGGTGTATGTCAGAGACATACATCTCTTGGAAAAACTTATGTTGATTTCTGTAGTTGTGTGAATTTCTTTTTAAAGAACCAGAACAAGTGTTTTTCTTTGCTTGCAGCTTAGATCCATTTGTTCAGTTGTAGACTTGTGATTTTTTTTGGTGTGTGTGTGTGCATCACTTGCCCTCAAAAACATTTTGATAATATGAAGCACTATTGAAGCTTAAAGTGATACTAGCCTTGTCTTGCTCCTTCAGTGCTGCTCTGTCCATTGATGTCTCCTCTTCTTCTGCCATAATATCACAGTCAAAGTGACTTCAGTGACATGACAGTTATGGTAAGATTGGCGAGGTTCCTTGTCGCATTCAATTGGCTACATCCTAATTAGCAGCAATTTGCTGCTGCCAGTTATGCAATTGCACTTCTGCTTTTATAACTCCACAATAGGATTTTCACCATTGTTTATTAAGGTTCCTTTTTGACTTTTTTTTCCAGAGACATTGCAGTGTCAGCTGTGTTCTTAATTCTGGTTCACTGTGACCTTTGCTTTCAGGGATGAGAGCAGAAGAAAATTGTGTGTTGTCTTGGGATAAAGCATTTCTCAGCATAGCTAACTAGGAGGCTGTGGGTGAGATCTAGTGCTATTCAGAAAGACGTTGGTAAAAACAGCAAAGAGAAAAAAGTATTTTCAGCTTACTGTATTCAGTTTCAAGATTGCTAGCCAGATTTTGTGTTACAAACTTGAAACTTTGTAACATTATGATATATTTTCCAGCGCTATATACAACTTTTTATTGTTGCTAGTTGTTGAATATCTCATTTTCAAGTAGACACATGTAATCAGTTTTTTAATTAATGCTATGACTTGAATTTGGATTTGATTAAAGGACTCTAACTCAGCCATGATAGTATAATTCTGAGTTTGAGCAATTTAAATATTTGTTATGAACTTTATTACTTTGGCAATAATGTCTTCTAAATTCTGCTGCACCCTAATTTTGAGGATCTCTACATATGCTAATTGGATGTGGTGGCATTGTGGGTTAAACCGTAGATGCCTCTGTGCTGCAGGGTCAGAAGACCAGCAGTTGTAAGATTGAATCCACATGACGGACTGAGCATCCGTCGCTTGTCCCAGCTCCTGCCAACCTAGCAGTTCAAAAGCATGCAAATGCGAGTAGATAAATAGGTACCACCTCGGTGGGAAGGTAACAGTGTTCCGTGTCTAGTCTTGCTGGCCACGTGACCACGGAAACTGTCTTCAGACAAACACTGGCTCTATGGTTTGAAAACAGGGATGAGCCCCGCGCCCTAGAGTTGGACATGACTGGACTAAGTTTCAAGGGGAACCTTTACCTTTACATATGCTATTTGTAGGTGTGGTGCAGCTTCATGTGCAACTTGGAGATGAATAGCAAATAACCAACCAAGGGAAGTAATGTGCGTTCATATTTAGGGTGATTCTATTGATGTGAGCAGGTAAAAACTTCCTAGTTTACAATACTGTCCTATGAGGGTTTTGACAGTTGCAGAACCTTAAGATTCTATAGCATGTTGCAGGTAACATACTTAAGCTTTCATGTGTGTTTGCCAGATTTATTCAGCCTTCCGATCACTCTTTGTTGCTGAGAGTATAACTCTCCAACTCTCCAAACACTCCTCTGTGGTTTTGCAATACAGGGGAAGATGTTTAATGCTGGGTAAATCTTTTAAGGAAATCTATGGATGTTTGCAGACTTTCATCATTTAAGAATCCCTTATTTATTTATTTATTTATTTATTTATTTATTTATTTATTTATTTATTTATTTATTTATTTATTTATTTATTTATTGGACTTATATACCGCCCCATAGCGCTACAAGCACTCTCCGGGCGGTTTACAATTTTAATTATAAAGGCTACACATTGCCCCCCCAGCAAGCTGGGTACTCATTTTACCGACCTCGGAAGGATGGAAGGCTGAGTCAACCTTGAGCCGGCTACCTGGGATTTGAACCCCAGGTCGTGAGCACAGTTTTAGCTGCAGTACAGCGTTTTAACCACTGCGCCACAAATACACATAGAAATTTATAAACTCTGGATGACATCAAAGCTCTTATGAACACCATCTGAAAATCAGTGACTGCCACACTGTATTTGCACACATCACTTGGACATTCTGTATAGGCACAAAGAGCAGAAAACCTTTCACACCCATGGAAATGTTGTCAGAGCCCATCAGTCAGGCGCTATGACAGTGATCTGCTAGCACCTGGAGGAAGGTAGTTAACTGGTGACCATAAGGACATGCTGCTTGTATATTCCTTTGTGTTATATCACAGACAATACCATAGGTCCAGTACAACAGACAGCATTAACTTTTGTCTGTTCCAGTCTTTGTATCAGCAGGAATTCTAATCCTCCTCCTGATGATCACAAACATTATTTTTGAGCATAATATACAAAGTAAACAACAGCCATGTATGTTTCTTGGTAGGAGATATGCAGAGAATGTCTGCAGTCCTCTTGGAATGTGTTCAGAACCCAACCAGGGAGAGACAAGACTCTTGCCCCCCCCCCAAAAAAACCCAAAGGGCTGAACAAGTAGAACCCACAACAGCATCTTCCACTGGCTTATTCATTCAAACATAGTATAGTAGTTCCTGATATATGGTCTTCTAAATCTTAAAAATGAATTCCCAGTATTTCTGGCCACTAGCTATGCTGACTGGGGGTTGAAACCCAAATATCTGGAGGATCGAGGATTGAGAAGTACATAGAACATTCTAGGGATCATTTCTTAAGAACTAGAAAAGCAGAGTTCAAGCTCTGCTAATGTTCCTTACTCATTTCTTGAATGTCTGCACAAAAGTAGTCAGTGCAGAGAGTAAAAGAGAAGGATCCCCAAACTATAATTTCCTAATAGACATTTTTATTTGCAAAAATCTGGATAGGCCCATTTGTCTTCCACAAACCGCAGTGATTCCTGCTAAGACAGGAAGTGCCCTAGCCTTGTGGAGGGCCAGCTTGCCCTTCTAGATTTTCTGTGGCAACCTGTAGGCCCAATCTATCCCCCTTGCCTTCCTATTTTGACTGCTAGGCCAGCTCTGTCACTTAGCATTTAGCAAGCTTCATTGCTTCTCTGTCACCCACTTGTGTGCCCTGAGAGGCCTGCCCCCTCTCCAGAAAGTTAAGGACATCTGACTGATCAGAGAGAGAAGGTACCACCTGCTACAAGCCTCTTAGGGTCTCTTGTCCCATCTTGAGAATAGCGTAGTTAATCTGCTCCTGCTTCTTCATGAGGTGCAGATTATGCTGTGCTACAGATTATGCCACAAATACGCATAGAAATTTATGAACTTGCATCCTATTGTGGTATATTCTTGCACAACTCCTGGCTATGCATTTTCCAAGCTTGCACAGGGAGGCATCTAATGTCTCTTCACACAGACAGTTTCCACCTACAGTTAAGTCCAGAAATAATTGTACACTGACCAAGTTTTGTTATTTTACTGTTTACCAAAATAAATTCAGGTTAGAGTTAAATAATGAATACTAATGACTACTTAAAGTGCAGTCTCTTAGCTTTAATTTCAAGGTAACCTAAATGTAAATG